AGGGACCCCACTGGTGCACAAATCTGTGCACTGGGCCTCTAGTATGTATATAAGATCTTTGGTTAATCTCTTTCCATCCTCCCCCCTCCCCCCTTCCCTCTGAGATTCATCAATCTGTTCCATGTTTCCATGTCTGTGTGTTGAGCGTCTGCCCCCTGGTGGTCAGTGTGCATCATAGATACCGGTAGAATGGTCGAACGGTTACTTAGGCTTTTATATATATAGATTTTCATAGGCAACTTATCAGCAGTGGTCGTGGGTTTAGCTTTTTGAAAAAGATAAATTATATAAATACTAGAGGCCTGGTGCATGAAAATTCATGCACTGGAGGGGGGTCCCTCATCCTGGCATGCCCTCTCTCAGAGTCCAGGAGCCCTCAGGGGCAGGAGGCAACCTGATGGGGGGCCGTCACACCTCTGCTGCTGCCACTGCTGGCAGCACATGCCTCAGCTGGCTCTGGTTACCTGCGCCTCAGGCCGGCCCTGGGCGGCTGGGGCGATGAGGGGACTGGGGGACTCCGGAGGCAGGCGCGCGGAGCAGCCGGACCTGGCCTTGCCATGCGCCTGCCGCCCCGGCGGGGCTGAGGGAATGGGTGCTGCCATCTGTGGCTGTGGGCACCACCATCTTTGAGGGTGGGGCAGTCAATTAGCATATTCCCTCCTTATTGGCTGTGGGTGCCGCCATCTTTGTGATGGCATGAGAGTCAATTAGCATATTCCCTCCTTATTAGATAGGATATACTCATTTTATACAGCTTGCCTTTTCTTCTTAACAATGACTTGGAAATCTGTCCAAGCTATTACAAACAGATTTAGCCCACCCTTTTTCACTACTGTATAGTGTTACCATAGATGTATGTAGATAAAGGTTTGTGTGGTCATTTCCCTGTTGATAGACATTTAAGTGTTTAGGAGTTAGAAATTCACAGTGACTCAAACAAAACAAAGCTTTCTTTTTTCTTTTATACAAGGAAAGTCTAGAGAAAGGGAATTTGGCTCTCTGTGGCTCCACAAAATTGGCAGGTACCTGGAGCTTTCAGTGTTTCTCTTCTGCCATTGAAAGAATGGGGCTTTATCCTCAGGGATGCCTCTCATGATCACAGATGCTGTCGACACCCTCTCTTTGCAAGGGAGACTGGGAAATGTAGTTTTCAGCGGAAGCATTGTGTCCCCCAAGAAAAAAAATCCATTAAAAGTAGGGAAGACGATATTAGTCTCAGCCTGCAATGAAGTTATTTCCAGTTTTTCTTTGTTGCAAAAAATGCCATTATGAATATCTGTGGGTACCACATTAAAAAAAAATCCCCAACTGATGTACATATGGAGGTGTTCCCAGTTTTTGTTTATATCTCATATGGTTCTTTTTTGTTATTTATGCAAGAATTTTTCCAGGGTGGATTTGGAAAAGCAAGATTGCTGGGTCACATGGTATCAACATTTAACTTTTATTAGATCCCTCAGCATGGAGGGGCCATCTTTACCACTGCGGCCACAGGTTCATTATCCTTCTTCTCCCTTCCCCAGGTGGGGTTCATCGACTATATTGTGCACCCACTGTGGGAGACATGGGCTGACTTGGTCCACCCAGATGCCCAGGAGATCCTAGACACGTTGGAAGATAACCGGGACTGGTACTACAGCGCCATCCGGCAGAGCCCATCGCCACCGCCTGAGGAGGAGCCGGAGGGGCCGGACCACCCAACCCCACCTGATAAGTTCCAGTTTGAGCTGACGCTGGATGAAGAGGAGGAGGAGGAGGCGTCCTCTGCCCTGGGTGCAGTTGAGGTGCAGGAATTATTCATGGCTCAGGATGCATCCCCAGCGGAGGAACTGTTGGATGTCGATGGCCAAGACGCATCCACCGAGGTGGACGTAGAGGAAATGTCCTTGACACAGCAAGCAGACAGTGTGGCTGTGGGCCAGGACGAGTCCACATCCCCAGATGCGTCGGTGGATGCCATGGGCTGCAGCAGCCCCCACGCCCTGTCTCCGGAGCGGCCCGCTCTGCCTGCCTTGAGGACCCCACCCACTCCAGAGGCTGCCCCGGGCCTCCGGGGCCTCCCCTCCATGGCAGCCGAGGTGGGGGCCCAGAAAGAGCATCAGGCTGCCAAGAGGGCGTGCTGTGCCTGCACTGGGACACTGGGCGAGGACCCACACACACTCCCAGCCCCTGGTGGGTGGGGGTCTGCTGGAGGCCCTACCTGAGCCTCAGCCTCTACCCCCTTTTACCCTTCCTGCCTCCTTTCACCACCATCGTCCCCCGACTGCCTCCTTCACTGCCTCAAAGACTCTTTGGCCTCCTGAGAAAAAAGAAAACAGAAAAGTGGGGTTTTTTTCTCTTTTCTTTTTTTCCCCTTTCCCCCCCACCCCCAACCCAACCCACGGGGCACATGTTGGAGGTGGGGCCTGGGGAAGGAGGGGCTGAGGTTCTGGAAGGGGTTTTATTTTTGGAATTTTCATTGTTACATTTTTAGAAAAAAAAAAAAAAAACAGGGAAAAAAAAACAAACAACAGGATGAAACACAGCAACTGTAGATGCTCCTGTTCCCGGCTCCCCCGGTCCATCTCCAACCCCACCCCACGCCCCTCCCAGACCCCAGGCCCAGTCTTCCAGCCTCTGTGGGCTCTCCACCTGAGCCCAAGCAGGCGTAAGGTCTCCTTCCAGGCTCTTCCTAAATTTGGAGGGTTTCTAGAATCCAGCCAGGGAATAGCCATTCTGGGCAGGGGCCCAGTGGGGCGGGTCACTGTGAGAGGCCCCAGCTCCAGCCCCTCTCAGGCTCACTGCCTCCCCGCCAAGTCTTCCACCTCATTTTGCACAAACCTGGCAATATTGACTCGGGGACAGGCGTGGGGATGCTGTACAACTTAGGATGCTGGGAGGGGAAGGTGTGAG